AGCACAGAGAGAGATAAAGAACTTCCTGGGTTCTTGAAGCATGGATGAGAAATACCACAGACCACAGATAGGAATAAGGCTGTAATCTAGTTGTGCTGGCTTTCTGTGGGACTGTGGGAGAAGAGAACCTCGAACTCTATACACGCCTCTTTCGCTTCTGGTCAGACTGACTGGGAAAATCACCCATGATGGGATTTAGTGAACAACCAAAGGATTTCCCAGGCTTGATGATCCTTTTTGCTCAAATAGCCAATGAATAAGACTGGGAAGGTCAGCTGCCACCTTGAAATGCCTTTTTTGGAAGTCTGTGGTGAAAAATGTCCTTTCTTTAGTCTGTTCCGAGGACTGGTAACTCAGGATAAGGGTCTCAAGCTGCTGTACTTCACAGTGAACAGCAGCCCTGCTCTCATGTTCTTTTCTGATGTCCAGTGTTTATTCTGTTACTACTGTGAATGAGCCTGGGCTCACTGGCTTTTACTCCACTGAGGACCTAGACCATGACAGGATTCTTGGGAGGGGGAAGATGATCATAAGTCACTGCCTACACCTCATAGATGTGGACAACTCTAATGAGGGCGGTGTGAGCCTTGACAGCTCCTTGCTTGGAACTTTACCTGGGTTATAGCTGAACTCTGAACAAGCCAAGAGAAAGACTGCAGCTGTATCAACTGGAAAAAGACATGGCGGAAACACCAAGGATTGTGTTCAGGAAAGTTGAAGCAGACTCAAAAGAAAGAAAAAGACACCCCAAAGGAACACGTCACACTTCAAATGGATGATCATTTGTAAAATCTTGCTGATCTCTGTGAAGACCTCATACTACCAAAGAAACCAAACTCCAGCTGGGACGCTCAGCCACCAGCAGCTCTGGGTGCCGGTGATCTCTGTAAGCACAGACATGGTAACAAGGACATTGAGAAGTTTTAGCCCGTGTAAATGGAAAATGTATTTTGCAGTCCAACCATAGTGATCAGGTGATCTTGGAGGAGATCATTATCTTAGATGTAATCATCCAGTCAAAGTCCAGAAAGAGTTAGGCCATCCAGTAGGGGGCTAGATCAGACTTTTGTTTTTCTTAAGATTATTATAAGGTTTATTAGAGGGGCCTATTTCCCAGGAGAGGGAGCACATGGCACCCATCCCAGGGAGTGGCAGGGGAAAGACCTTGACTTTGCCAAGAGTAAATGAGTTCAAGCACAATTGAAACAGAAATGATTCGAGGAATCTGAATTGCAAAAGAAAAGGCTCAGCAAGCCCGCTGCTCTCCAAGTCTGCGTGTGAAAGCTAAGCAGAATGGAGAGGAGAGTTTCAAAGGAAGAGCATGCAGGAAACAAATCACCAAAAGTCTAATCACAAAAGTGAGGAATCAGAAAAGGCAAAGCAGTACCTTGAACAGGAAACATAGATCAGCATCCATCACAAGTGAAGACAGGGCACATGCCATGAGGGGCTGGTGGAAGTTGAAAAGCCACAAATTCAACAGCACAATCAGAGCCGTAGGAATAGACTTTTTTTTAAATAGCTGAGCCAAACTGGATCTCCATGAAACTCTCAGTCACAAAGCCAGTAATATCAGCAAACAAAAAACCACCGCCAAAAACATGACCTTTTTTTTTTTTAAAAATCAGATCTGATTCTGACACTTCTATTCAGATCTGTCTCCTGAAATTTGGGATCTCCACTTTCTGGAACCTGGAAAAGTTGGAATCTAAGCCTGAAGCAATGGAAGAACTTCAGAAAGCAACTGGAATGACAGGCGTGAAGATACTATGTGACTGAGCTGACATCACAAAGGTATGAGGTCCTCACTTTCTAGATGAGATCAAAACATGACTTTCATCAGTAACAAAAAAAAAGGCTTCTGAATATACCAAAATGTCTATAAACCACCAGTATGAGTGACAGAGAATGTACATAAAACAAAAATCCTCATGATTTTCTTAAAATTTAGCAAAGTCCACAAACCAACATTATACTTATTTCCCTTTATAATTCTCATAACTTAAAAAGTCAGTGGATAGGGGACAGGAAAGAAAGAAAAATGTAACAAAATCAGAAAGCCCACTGCTAAATAAAAGTTCCACCGTTCCTTAGAGATCTCCACAAATAACCTTGAGAAGTTGCCAGGTCTTTGAAACACCTCTCCTTTATGACCCCCTCCCCGCTGATTGCCCTGAATTCAACTGGTCCAACTGCAACATGCTCCAAAGTCAACTGTGAAACGCTGGCATCAGATTCCACAGCTGACCGACTCTCCATCTGATGAAGGCTGTGACTCTAACCTTGCGAACAGGAAGTGCTTTCAACTGACAGACTATCCACCCGCAGGGCTGGTCCCGATGAGGAGCCCCAGGTCAGGTACCCAGGAGGCAAGGGCCTCGCGGTCACTAGGCTCTCCTCTCACGCTGGATACCCATACTTGAAGGTAGGCTTTAGGAGAAGGATGTAGGGGCATCATAAAATCAGATGGTAGCACCAGAAAGTTCACTGGAAAGAAAGGAGAGGTGGCAGCTCACAGCAGCACGTGCTGAACAGTGCCTGCCACGGAGGAAAGGGGCTCAAGCTAGAGGGGTGTGACTGAATGATAAGCAGACCCAGGGGTTCACACCAATTCCATTAACATATCACATCACACAGGTTCTCACAGCACACGGTGACCCACATCCCCAAGTGACAGGCTGGGGAGATGAAAAAACAAAACTACTTGTGTCCCAAACCACACGTGTGAACCATCTATCGGGGGCCAAATGCCACCTTGCCTAGCGATTGTCCCCACCGCCCGGTGCCCAGGGGCTCTGAGTGAGCACATCGCTCAGACCGTCTCACGTCAGCACCGGAATTCCTGAGTGAGGAATAGTGTCTTATCACCAAGGTAAGACGAAAGTTGGAGACTGAAGCTCAGCACCAGGAATTTAGTGCATGGTCTCCTGCCAGCTGAAGGGGAGAGGAACTACTCCTCATTCTGTTGCTGTTTTCCCTGGCTCCCAAGAAGCCGGGTGGGGAACCTGGCATCCAAGAGCGGTTCAGAGTCTGGAGCCAATGAGAGACTGCTTACATTCCCATTAGAACTGGCACCTGAACTTGAGGACCCTCTTTCTCCTGCCAAGTTTGATGTTAACACACACATAAACACACACCCCACACTGGAACCTCTGGCCTGGGCGGTTCAGTACAAGTTCAGGTAACTGGTTGCTTGTGTGGGCAGTATGGAAGGCAGATTGCAGCTAGGATTTCCAGACATCTAAAGTTCAAGGTTACCTAAGTCTACACCAAGCACGAGTCTCACAGGGCAGGCAAAAAGACATCCCCAGCTCAGAAGGGATGTACTTTGGTCAGTGCGGCTTTTTACCTTAGTGGTCCTAGAACACATGTCAATTCTCAAACTACAAAAATAGCTGATCAAAAGGTTTGTAGGATGGCCGCCCTGCAATGATAGTGAAGAACTCAGGGAGGGAAGGGGGTGGATTCCCGAAACTGTGTTACCTTCCCTTCATTCTCAAAGGGTTATGACAGATCTGGAAAGAAAAGAACAAAATAAACATACAGAAGTCGAAAGAACTCTAAGGGCAAACTGGAAATTTAATGACTCGATGCAGACCCCCTCTTTCTGAACTTCTCCCAGCAGACGCAATACTGATTTCTGCTAGCCAGCATGTTATACTAGCATCGTCACCTCTCAAAAGCTTTGGTTAAACAAATCTGTCATTTCTGTGCAAATAGGCTGTCACCAGACCACAGCGGCAGCATTTCCAGCCCACAGAGAGTCAAAGTCAAGCTCATGTTCATCCTCTGCTTTCAACACTGAAGCACCTCAGGTATCCCCAGAGGAACTCAAATGCAACATGGGTTCAGAGGGAAGTAGAAGCCAGATCCACTCACAAGTGGCCCTGGCCATCGTTCAGAAACCACACCATGTGGACACCAAGCTAGGCCTCCCATTTCCATCATGTCTTCTTCAGCAAGACAGTCTCTAAGAAAGCACACTCCAGAAGAAACCCGAAGGTTTATATTTAGAAAAAGGTCAGCCACTCATTTTCTACCAAGCATTTCTGCATTACGTAACTTCCCTGCTTCCAGAGGAAGCAACAACAATCAGGAATTTGAATATTTTTTCTTTTTTTTTTAGTTTTAGAAAATGAGAATCAGGTACATGATGAAATCACATAAGAAAACAAGTTGGATGACAATACTGAGTGTCTTTACTTCTGATACAAAGCGAGGCTTTCTATAAAGATTCCACCAAAAAAAATTTTTTTTAATATAAAATTTCATGTAAACCTACTGGAAGAAGCAACAGCAGCTTTGGCCTCTCTCATAAGACAAGGCCGGCTTCACTGTAGAGATGAACACTGTTCTAAAGTGCAGTCTAAACAAAATCCGCAGAGCCAAGAACATCCTTCCTGCACTTGATTTGTCTGCAAAGACATCAGAATTATTTCAAAGTGTCTCAGTGATTCCAATGCACATAAGGCCAGATAACTCGGGTCTCCACAGGGAGAGGAGAAGAGTGTCTACAGCAATACCACGGTCACTTGGCCCTGCGGAAATTCCCAAATTCATCTGCTACCAAAAGCACCCGAAGAAGGAAATGACAATATTTGGAGAAAACAAGGCGAACAATGACTACAAAACCAAAAGGCCAGAATATTTCAGCGAAACAGCTTGTCGTAGGTGGAATGTGACTAGAATGGGCCTCCAGTGTTCCAGTGAAAACACAGAAGACCCTCGTGTCAGCCGCGACAGTGACTCCAGACGTGACACTATAGCCAGTCTTCAGAAGAACAACATCCAAGTTAGCCAGGAGAGCGCTCAGGAGGGGCAAGTGCCATTTAGTAAGAATCCTTACAGAAACAATGGAGAAAAGAAAAAGAACATTCATATTGCCTATGTACAATCACCACCCCCCACCACCACAATTCTACTTTTACATTATATTCCACATTTTATTTTTGTTTTCAAGTTACATTTTCAAGAAAAGGCCATCCTTTTTTTTTTTTCTCCTCTCTATAATATCTTGTAATTCCTCAAGATAGCACAGGGTCTAAACCATAAACCACTTCCAACCAGAGCCGAAGTCTCCAGCAATTACCTTTGGTTTATTGATCAGAGAAATCCTCCGTTCCTCTGATAGGGACTAAACATATACCGCTGAGTCCCGGGAACAAAATTCCAATCACAAGAGCACCCTCTGTTTCTCTCTTTTTTTTTTTTGGCCTGATTAAAAGACACACAATAGGAGAGACACTCAGCACAAATGACATGAAATTGCTGAGAATCTCAAGCAAGGGCCAACCACAGCCTGCCCTAGAGTAGCTTACAACTTCTCCTGTGTGGCCCAGGCTCTACACCAAATCAAACACTGCCCAGAGCCGGATGGCTAGTGCCCATGTCTGTGACACACACGGCGGGACAGTGTCTTGTGTTGGAAAGGCTGTGGCTAGGTGACATTTCCTATTGTGTTTTGCCACGCGGCACTTAGAAAGTGGGTCTTCTGGGGGCTGGCTTGTGATCGACCCACTCCGATGGGTAACACGCATCAAAAAAAAGCAGAAATCAGAGCTGAGTTGCCCCCTTTAAAAGCCAAACACCTACATCTAGAAGGAGGCTGCTCTACCTGGCAGGCTTTGCCCTGCTGAGCCCCAGCGTGGAGAGGGGGCCCCGCGACTTCATGTTAGTTACAGGGCAGCCAGGTAGGGTAAGGCTGGCTGTAGGGGATGGGAGGGTGGGCGATGTAGTAGTTGTTGAAGTTGCCGTCGCTGACGTACGGGGCTGGCTGGTAGTAGCACGTGACGTTGGTGGCACTGGGGATGATGTTCTGCTCGGCCAGCACCCGCAGGGCCAGCAGGGAGATGAGGTTGAGGGTCTGGCGGCGCTCGTGTCCCATGAGGCACACCGTGCTCTCGTTCACCACTCTGCGGAGGATCACCAGGTAGTCGTACTTGCTCCCCTCTTCTTCGGCGAAGTGGTTCTGGAGGTATGTCTCCAGCTTCCTCTGCTGCTCCAGGATGTCGGGGAAGTCGATGAAGAACCGGGAGCACATGTAGCGCTCCAGGGTTTTGATCTCCTCCTGGTCGGCAGGCCGGAAGTCCCGCACAAGGAGGTTGCTGTACTTCAGCAGCCCCCCACCTCGGATCTCTTCCGGGTTCTTGGTGGCGATCAGTCTGTTCTGCAAGTGGTCGAAGGCCTCCTCAAAGTCCCCGTACACGCTCTCCGCGATCACTGTGGGGTGGACGTGCTCGGAGATGGGGTTACTCGAGCAATCGTAGAAAAAGAGCAGAGAGTCCAGGATGATCTGGAAGGAGTCCACGCTGAACTCGAACTGGCGCCGGATAGAGTCGACAAACTTCAGCTCCACGTTCCTCCCGTTCTTGTTGGAGAGGGAGATGAGGCTCCAGCGGTCCGTGTCCGTGCAGACTTTCACCAGCTTCTGCACGTACGCCTCCTTCAGCGTGACGGGGCTGATCTTGAGCTTGTTCACGCCCTCCGGCAGGAAGTTCAGAAGGGAGCACAGAACCACGTCCCTCACCAGCTGGAATTCAGCCTCCGTCGGAAGAGCCACGTGAAAAATCAGGTCCAGGTCTTTGCAACCCAAGCCATTGTCTTTGACCAACACGTGTCCGGCAGCAGAGCCATTCAGCCGCACGTCCTGCACTCGGATGCCTGCCTCCTCCAGGCGGCTGCGGACGGTCTGCACAATGTCCTTCAAGGTTATCTCCAAGGTTGGGAAGTTGCCACGTCCATGGATGGGGACGACCTCGGTCAAGACCTCGTGCAGCCGGCTAACCTGATCCCAGCTGAGGACGCTGAAGGACGCACAGGCCCTGGAGCTTCTGCTCTCGTCTGCCATCTCAGGGGACGTGGTGGCCGGGGAAAACTGAAAAGCCAAGGGGAGACACTGAGTTAGAATCTGCTCGAAGCAAGGCCAGGCAGTCTAAAATGGGCGCTCAGAGATGCCAACTACAGCCCCAACTGTTCGTGTAAATGGGGCTCACGCCTGTAACCCTAGCTACTCAGGAGGCTGAAGTCTGAAGATCCTGGTTCAAAGCCAGCCTGGGCAGGAAAAGGCCACGAGACTCACCTCTAATGAACCAGCAAAAAGCCAGAAATGGAGGTGTGTCTCAAATGGTAGAACGCTAGCCTTAACAGAAAAATCCAAGCAAGAGAGCTCAAGGTCCTGAAATCAAGTCTCAGTGCAAACCAATATTGATGTATTAGGAAGCCAGAGTGCCGCAGGGCTTCGGTCCCACTTCTGCCCAGTGGCTTCCCGACCTCATGCCTGCCTGGCAGCTTGCTGACGCTTACAAAGCCTGTCCCAGAGCAGTTCCATTCTTTGGAAGCCACTGCACCTGCCAATCAGCACGCTCCCCTGGAGTTCCTCAGGGACTTCCAGCCCTGCCTGGGGCCAGGGATTTCCGTCCTGTCACTCAGGGTGAGGGTCTGGCTAGGGCACACAGAGCGATGAGCTTTTGGTAGCTCTTCATGAGGAAGCAGGTAAGAATAATGCCAAGCCAGGCGGCCTATATGCAGATACCTGAAGGGGGGCTTGCCTTCAGAAAAGCAAGGTGAGCAGCTGGCTGGGACCGCACACGGCTAGAAACGCCAGGCCCCATAGGCCTTGCTCAGTCCAGAGTCTGGCAGAGCACTAGTAGTAGAGCACTAGTCTTGGGCTGAAGAGCTGAGGGACAGACCCAGGCCCAGAGTTCAGATCCCAAGACTGACAAAAAAAAAAAAGTTATTGTTCTGAAATAAGTCATTTATCAGTTCATTTTCTCCCACTTATCCAAATAACTTTAAATACCAAAAGTACATTTTCAAGTTACTTAGACAAATAAGAACAGACCAAGTTATAGGCCCTGAGCACTTAGCTAATACACCCGAGCTTCCACGGACAGTTTCCGTTTTAATTAACTGCCTTAAATCAACACTAACATAATCCCCTTATAAAAGAATCACAGAAAACGCACATTCCCAACTCATGAAAGGCCCTGGTCAGAGGCAAATTCTAGATAGCAGAATTAACCAACAGTGGCTAGGAAACAAATGTAAGTGCAGTCTAGCACCCCCCAAACTAGTGTTTGAGAAGCACATTTGCTGTAGGTTTTACGCAGAAAAAGGGAGGGACAGATGCACTCATGCTTGGTACTTCGTACAAGCCAGGATGGCCAATGCCCGTTCAATGTCATCTAAGGCTTGACTCTCAAGGAGCAACCGTCCCAGAAACCCTCCAAGTCACCAGTCTCCTGTCACCTGGCAGCAACAGAACAATACAATAGAGCTGGGGATGGTGGCTCACATCTGTCTCCCTAGTTACTCACAAGGCTGAGATCTGAGGATACAGTTGTGCAGCCACCCGAGCTGATGAATGCTTATCAACGATTAACCAGTAAAAAGCCAGAGGTGGAGCTGTGGCTCAAGTGGTAGAGTGCCAGTCTTGAGTGAAAAGCTCAGGGACAGCTCCTAGGCCCTGAGTTCAAGTCCTAGTACTGGCAATGCATGCATACATACACACACACACACAAACACACACAGGGCTGGTCCTGTTACACTCAAGGTGCCCTCTTTGCTCACAGAACAGGGAGCATCCCTGGGACCAAGTTGGGGAGATCAGGAGAGGTGCTAACAGGTTAAAGACACGCTCCCAACAATCAAAGAAAGTGAAACCTACCAGGAGCTGCACAGAGAAAAAAAACAAGATACATTTGTGGGAAATTTCCAGAAGGAAGAAGAACCTGGACATAACTAACATCAGAACAACAGCCAGAGAACACACAGACTTGCAAATGCTAAATTGAAGACTGGTCACCTGTCATGCTCTGCAATTTCATGCTTTGGCCCAGAGAACCAGGCCGGGCACCAGAATGACCACGGACATCAGGGCAGCTGACAAGAGAAAAAGCCAGGGCAACAAGGACCAGCCTTCTAGAAGGCGTCCCCTACTCCTTGAATTCCTTGGGTCAGTGAAGGTCAGGGGTCATCTAGGACCAGGGGTGGCATAAGGAGGCTTTTTGTCTACCAACTCCCAGAAGCACCTCAGCCAGGGAGGGCTCACATTCTAGAAATTTCCACAGCCACCAAATCCATTAAAAATACACAGCTTCACAGACACATTCAACTTGTGTTTCATGAACATGAAATGAAGTTTAGGTGACTACACTGCCTAAAGACAAATTGTGCTGTGGTTTTATTACTATTGTGTTGTTTTTGTGTGCCAGTACCCAGGGTCTTCTGCTGTCCCTTACTTTTTTCACTCAAGGCTGGTGCTGTACCACTTGAGCCACAGCTCCACTTCCAGCTTTTTAGTGGTTAACTGGAGATAGGTGTCTCTGGGATTCATCTTCCCAGGCTGGCGTTGAACTGCAGTCCTTAAGAGCTAAGCCTCCTGAATAGCTAGGGTTACAGATGTGAGCCACCAATACCTGACGTGTGTGTGTGTGTGTGTGTGTGTGTGTGTGTGTGTGTGTGTGTGTGTGTATTTTAAATAAAGGTATTATAATTCTATCCCCCACCCCGAAAAAAGTTCTATTTACAGTTGCTGCAACCAATACCCACAACTCTTTCTACCTTAGCTCAAAGACATAATTGACCCAAGCCACAAAGCTGTGCCCAGCGAAACTCTGACAAGTGTCCCAAACAAGCAGTAAGACAGGCTGCCAGGGCTGAGTGTGGATCAACTCATCTAATTCTCACAAAAGTCCTCTAAAGATGCCATTCCCCTAATTCCCCTTAAAAGAAGATATTCAAGCTGGGCACCGGTGGTTCACGCTAGCTCCTCAGGCTGCTGAGATCTGAGGACAGAAGTTGGAAGTCATCAGGACAGATGAATCCAAGAGAAAATCTCCAATTAACCAGCAAAAAGCCCCAAGTGGAGGTGTGGCACCAGCCTCAGAAGAAGCTAAGTGAGCGTGTGAGGTCCTGAGTCCAAGCCCCTCGAGTGTCTGGTGTCACCAAGCAGCACAGATGGCCGCCTCTCACGTTCTTCGGAAGTCCCAGTCCACTTTCTCAGGGTTACCAGCAGCCTCCCACCCGTTTCATACTGATGTTTACTACTACACACAAAAGACAAAGAAGAAAGTCTTGGTTAGACTCCCAGGGCACTGGTCCTGGACTGGAGCCCAGGGAGGATGTAGAACTGGAGGCCACTTCAGCCTGCCTCTAGGGCTCTGGGGACCTCCCCAAATGCTGACTTCCCATGCTTGCCAACAGCCAGTCTGGTTATCAGCGTGGAAGTTTCACACCTTTCAAAACAGGAGGCCGGAGCCTGTGTGGTGGGGGGGAGATAAGGCCGAAAGGCTGGGCTGCCTGCGATGACAGAATCAAAACACTGGCCGAGGTCCCTCGGCAGGGACTTGCAAGGAGCCAGAACACAGGCATCTTCAGATGGAAGCCAACCACATCAACATGAAGCTGGACACACACAAAGGGAACACCACCCCCTCCCTCCCCACTCCCAACATTTCTTCTGTGCTGTTCCTGGGGCTTGAACTCAGGGCCTGAGAGCTGTTGGCTTTTTCACTCACGGCTGGTACTCACTTGAGTTATACCCCCATTTCCAGCTGTAAGTGGAGACAAGAGTTTCCTGTCCCGGGCAGCTTTGCAACCATGATTCTCAGATCTCAGCCTCCAGAGAAGCTACAATTATAGGTGTGAGCACCCCCAGGAGGTTTAGAGACCAGCCTAGACTGAGAAAAGCAGGAGGCTAAGCTACTATAGAGGAGACAAAGGTTAAGGATGACAGATGCAGAGCACCAGCTGCTGTCCTCGAAGCTCCTCTCCCGGGCCAGCTAACTCTCCACCAGCTAACTCTCCACCAGCAACTCTCCAGCCTTCATCTCCCAAACTAAGACTTGCACCCTCCACAGCTGAAAGTCCTGCTCATCATTAGCATCACCCCAGGGCCTCATTGGGGACAGAGAGAAGCGAATAATGTGTAGTTCACTGTACAGTCACACACACCATTCCCAAATGTCTCTGTACAAGTTAACCTCAATTTCAGGGCAGATCTGTTGTATTTTGCTCACCATCCATCCCAGGTTTGTTTCCCATGAGAGGTTTTCACACAGCAGGTGTCCCAGTTACCTGACTTTGTACTCCAAGTAGTAAGCATAGCAGTAGTCCCAAACACTGTCCCTTTGGCAACATTAAAATGGTACTAAGTAACAGAAATTGTGTGGGTGGGGCTAATGCAAAGGAACAAGACCCAGGTGTGGGAGCCATTTCTATACTGTCTTGGCCGTGATGTCTCACACCTTGCCTGGAGCTGACTACTATTAGCCCTTTTCTGAGCAGTTAATATAGTTATTAGATAGCCCACTAACACCTTGAACTTGAAAGTTACTTCCTGGTAGCAGCTGGGCACTTGTGGCTCACACCTGTAATCCTAGCTATTCAGGAGCTAAGTAAGATCTGATGATGGCAGTTCAAAGCCAGCCCAGGCAGAAAAAGTCTGAGACTCTTATCTCCAATTAACCAGCAAAAAAAAGCCAAAAGTGGAAGTGTGGCTCCAGTGGTAGAGTGTTAGCCTTGAGGGGAAAAACAAGCAAGAGCAAAGAGTTCAAAAGCCCCAGAGAAAGAAAGAAAGAAAGAAAGAAAGAAAGAAAGGAAGGAAGGAAGGAAGGAAGGAAGGAAGGAAGGAAGGAAGGAAGGAAGGAAAGAAGGAAGGAGAAAGAAGGAAGGAAAGAAAGAAAGGAAAGAAGGAAGGAAAGAAAGAAAGGAAAGAAGGAAGGAAAGAAGGAAGGAAAGAGAGAGAGAGAGAAGGAGGGAGGGAGAGAGGGAGAGAGGGAGGGAGGGAGGGAGGGAGGAAGCCAGAAGTCCCAAGGGATGGAACTCCTCGGAAGCTCTTCCTCCCTGGGGTTCACGGCCCCTACATAGATAGGACTGGCCAGAGCCAGTGACACAGGGCTGCTCACCAAGCTTCTGTCTACAGGCCTCTAAACCAGGTCAGTGATGACAGTGAGAAACAAAACAGCAAAAGAGAAAGGATCAGCAGAACATAACCCAGTGAGCTGCAGAGAGAAAGGCTGAGTGAGCTGGGCCCGGGGGCAGAGGTGGAGAGGTGTGGGGAGGGCCGCAGGGAGCTGAGGCTCGGCTGAAGAGGAGTTTCAGCTGAGGCCCAATTAAGCAGTCATAGCCACAGCTCCTCAGTTCCAAAACTATACCCCTGAGGCTCCCATGTGAAAGCAAAACTCAGGTTGGGCACTGGTAGCTCAAGCCTGTAACCCTAGCTACTTAAGAGGCTGAGTTCTGAGGATCTCAGTTTAAAGCCAACCCTGGGGAGACAAATCCGTGAGATTCTTATCTCCAATTAACCACTAAAATGCTAGAGATGAAGATATGGCTTAAGTGGTAGATTGCCAGCCTTGAGTGAAAAAGCCAGGCAAAAACACAAGGCCTTGAGTTCAAGTCCAACACCGATAATAAGAAAAGCAGACACAGAAACTGCCCTGCGTTTCAAGCTGGAAGTTCTACGTCTAGTAGGCCCCATCCAGGGTCTTGTCCCACCTCAACAATACCCACTCCAGGTATGCAAGGAATGGCTGGTAGCTGCCAGCAGAAAAGTTCATCCAAGTATCCGGAGTACCTTCCACCCTCCAGGCAGGAGCAGGGGCTCTGCGGGTAGCACAGAGGTCACCCGCCACAGGTCCCCCAAGTCTGGGGCTGAGATGGAGCTCTTCAGTGTATCCCGAAGCCAGCCCCACTCCTTCCCACCTGCAGCCCTTCTGTGGCCCAGGTGCACAGACACCTGCACAAAACCCTGGCCAGAAAGCACTTAACTGCTTACAGACTCGATCGCTGCTGCTAGCCAAGAAACAACACTGCTCAGCTTGGTGACCCAGGCTCTGCCATCAGGAAGAGCTGCTTAGCATCAGCAACTATTTCTCCATATTGGGTGCCCCCCCCCCCCCCCCCCCCCGCCACTGTTGTTCCAAGAAGTTCTGTGAAGCATTCTAGAACAAACTACAGGGACCAGCTGTACAAAATCTATTCATGTGAAACAATCTCTAAGGTTCCCTTTTATGAATTCAGGTGCTATACAGATGCTTTCTCTAAACAATTTAAATTCCAACGATCACTTTCGCTTAAAATGCATATTGTAAAAAGACAGAAAAGTTGGAGAAACTTTAGGTTCTAGAAATACTGTAAGGGATCGACTTGCCTGAGGAAGCCCAACAGCTTTAAACACTTCAAGTATGAAGGGGTCTGCACTTTTCATAATTCCATCTATCCCAATTTAATTAACTCATTACCATCCAACTATCAAGATGTCAGAAGACAATGTTTTCCCTATGTTCCTGTTTACCTCAGTGACAATTTGACTTTATCTAACCAGAGTAAAGTTTTGTCTGGCAAACACCCCAGGCTCTGCCTCACCCCTCAATCTCCAAATACCTACACACAGGCATCAAAAAGAGCAGTGGCATCCTGGGGAGAGATGGAGGCCAAGAAACCCCAGGATAGCACAAGCTTCACTTACCCATGCTGTAATACCAAATGGCTGACCACGTGCCACCAGGAAAGGGAAAAGCCAACGAGGAAAGCCAAGACAGGCTACTACTGAAATGGAGCAATTAAGTAAAAGGAAGAGGAAAGGAGGGAAGGAAGAGGGGAGGGAGGGAGGGGAAAGAGGGAGGGAAAATGGAGAGAGAGGGAGGGAAGGAAGTGCAGTTTCAGCTTTGTAGCGAATGTGTTCAGTTCATGGCTCTGTGAGGAGGTCCCTAGAGTTCATGTTTAGGTTATCTTTATTTTTCTGCGGAGCTGTTCCTGGGACTTTCAGAAGCGGAGGAATCCTCTGTTCTCTGATGGGCAGAGCAAGATGTACATAATGTACCCTGCCCTTGAAGGCCCACTGGGTGGAGTGCGGTCGCTTTCTGGGGAGACTGAGGTGGGGGGGAGGAGGAGGCAGTGGCATCGGCTAGAAGTCCAACTACAGAGAGCTTAGCTATCTATACTCAGGGGAGGACTTGAGGAGGAGGGAGAGCCTCTCCGGCCCCTTCTGAACAACAAAGGACCAGAGCCAAGCCCTTTCTATCAATTACACAACTTAATCCAGAGAGAGACAAGGTGGCTATTGTGTGGGAAACTCAGCATAAGGTGTGTGGTGTGTTCAAGTCCCAAGGCAAAAGTTACTAGCCAGATTAGGAACCTTTCTTTGGGAAGCAACTCAGGGGTCACTTCCAAGCAAAACAACAAGAAGCAAACGAACTCTTTAAGTGCCATTGGTTTGGAACAACTTGAACACTGATACACAGCCTATCAAAATCTTCTAAAACCAACTCCTTATTGAGAATCTGTCTATTCCTACACTATCTTCAGGGCTGGCAGAGTGGCCCAAGTGGCAGAGAGCCTACCTAGCAGCCTGAGTTCAAATCGTAGTACTGCCAGGTTAAGTATGGGAGGTTAAAAAACAAGTTGCTCCAAAGTCACCTCAAGAGGCAAAGTTTCAACTATCTCCATCAGTCCATTAAACCTGACTCCTGGCTAACAAGGCTCCCAACTCTTCAGGAATAAGAATGTTAGAGGTCAGAACACCCCCCACTCCATCACCCCTACCCCCTACCCCCACCCCCACCCCCCATCTCCTCCCCACCAGTCCAGCTCAGCCTCTTCCCTAAATGGGAGAAAGGTCAGCCCCCCCCAGCTCCGACCTCAGGGGCCGATCCACCCCAGCCCCCTCTGGGGATCCTGAGGGTGGACCCCAGCACCCCGCCCCACCCCGGCGGCTTTCCGCCCCTGGGCCGGGCCAAACTTCAAATGGGTGTGGCCAGGTGTGACCACGCCCCCGCACCCACGCCACGCCCACTTCTAGCATTGCTAGAAGTGTCACCTCAGACTCGGGAGGATGGCTCTGCCTCCCGACCTCCGACCTCCCCCCCCTCTCCCCCCTCCCCCCGTCTCCCGACCCCCGACCCCCGGACCTCTCACCCCTTCCCCCCACCCTTCTCCTGACCTCCGACCCCGGGACCTCCCACCCCCGACCCCCGACCCGCCTCCCGACCTCCCACTCCCTCCCCCCCACCCGCCTCCCTACCTCCCACCCCTGACCCCCGACCCCCGGACCTCCCCCTTCCCACCCGCCTCCCGACCTCCCACCCCCTCACCCCGACCCGCCTCCCGACCCCCGACCTCTCACCCCCGGACCTCCCGACCCCCCCTCCCCCTCCCTCCCGACGGTCTCGCACACAGCTATTCCCTATCAAGGGCCGGCGACGGACGGCGAGTCCGGCGTGAGGAAGCTCGGCACCGCAGGCCTCCGCGCCCGAAGTGTGGGCGCCCCGGCCCCGCCGGCGGCCCCCCAACTCCTCTGCTTTCCAGGGAAGCACCGGCCCCCCCGCCCCTCGCCGCCTCTGCGGCTCCCGGGCGGGCCTCGGGCGTCCCGGCGCGGGTGCGGGCTCCCGCCGCGCTCCTCCGCGCGCCGCGCTCGGGGATCCGGCCCCCGGCGCGGTCGGCCGCCCCGAGAACTCGCTGCCCGGGGATCCGGCCCCCGGCGCGGTCGGCCGCCCCGAGAACTCGCTGCCCGGGGATCCGGCCCGCCGCGCGGTCGGCCGCTTCCGCACACCCCGCCTTCTCCAAAGCTTCCGAGAGCCGCGGAGCGCACGGGTCGGGCGCCCGGATCCCTCCTGCCGGCCGCGGGTGGCCGTCGGGGATCGATCCAGCACTTTCGGAGGATCCCCCGCCCGGCCGGACCCGGTCCCCGCACCTCCCCGGCGCGCGGCGGAGCCGGCGCAGGTGAGCGAGCGGCGGAGCGCGGCGAGCTCCGGGCCGGGGTCGATCCCGCGGCGGCACCGAGAGCCCCGGCGCTCGCTCCCACCCCGGGCCGGCGGCGGCCGGGTCGCGAACCCGCGGCGCAGGACCGCGCTCCAAGTGCGCCCGGCACCGCCGCGGGCTCCCAGGTCCGCACTCCGTCCCGCGTCCCGCGTCCCGCCGTCCGGACGTGCAGGGTCCCCGCCCGGCCCCGCAGCGGAGCGGCCCCGCGAGCGGGCCGAGGACCCACCTGGGCCGTGGAGAGGAGGCGACAGCGGCAGGTCCTCGCGGTGGGCAGCCCCGGGCCGGAGCGGCGCGATGTCCACAGCCCCAGGCAGCTGCGCCCGACGAGCCGTCCAGCCGCCGCCCCCTCCGATCTTATCCGGCCTGGGCACGCCCCGCCCCTGCCCCCGCCCCGCCGCGCCCCCGCCCCGAGGCCGGCCCTCCCGAGGGAGCCAGGGCGCGACGGGCCGGGCCGGGCCGGTCCTCCCGCCGGGGCGCTGACGGCGGCCCCGACGCGCGCACGCGGCGCGCTGATTGGCTGTTCGTGTGAATGGTTGCCTAGAGACGGGTAAACCCTCCGCCGCGCCGAGGGGCGGGACGAGAGCCGACGGCGGCGCCACTGCGCACGCGCCACAGAGAGGGGCGGGGCCGTGCCTTCGGAGTTGCGGGGCGCGTTTCCCGTCTGGTTTCCCTTGGCTGGCTGGCTCCTCTCTCTTCGCTCTAGTCCTCTCTCTTTCTCTCTGCTCTCTCCCTTCTCGGCCCACTGTGCTTTCTGCTTCCTGGGGCTCTGGGCGCCGGCCCCGAGCTCTTTTCGCTCTCGCCGTGAGCCACACCTCCACTTCCGGATTCGAGGAGCGTCTCCTGGCCGGGCTGGATTCGAACCGCCATCCTCCTGAGCAGCACAGACCGGCTGGCCCCGGGGATCCCGTCGGCGCCCTGGGCGGAGGAACCCGGGTCCCGGAGCCCCGGCCCGGCCGGGGAGCGGGCCCTGCCGCCGGCCTGTGAACCACCCTCACCACTGGCGAGATCTGAGGACTGGGGTTCAAAACCAGCCTGGGCAGCCAGGAGAGTCCTCTCTGTGAAGTGGCGCTGTGGCTCAAGGGGTAGAGGGCCAGCCTTGAGCCAAAGCTGCTCAGGGAGAGAGATCAAGCCCCAGTACTGGGCTCGGACAGGAAACAGAACCCCAGCCAGAACAAGAACTAGAGTCGTGCGTGTAGTGCTTTGGGTACAGGGTGCGTGGACCTGCTATTCATACATTCATCCCTATTTATCAAACGTGGACTAAGTTTGTTTGATCGGCTACTAAGTGCTGGGGGTAGAGTACTTCCCCAACCCAGTGTTTCCTGCTCCTCTCTTCCTGTCTTTGTCTAAAATGTGTCCTTGGTGTCTTCCAGACTGTGGATGCATGCTTGACCCAGTGAAGAGGTGGCAGGGACGTTTCCAGGCACTTTGATGGGCTAGTCAGGGAGACCCTATTGTTGGACACAAAATCAAGCTATAGAGTTGATTGTTGTTGTTGTTGTTGTTGTAGTACTGTGGCTTGAACTCAGGGCCTCTTCCTCTCACTTGGCCTTTTTTACTCTAGGCTAGCCCTCTGCCACTTGAGCCTTACCTCCACTCCCAACTTTTTTTGCTAATTAGTTGGAAGTAAGAGTTTCAGAGACTTTCTTGCCCCAGCTGGCTTTGAACCAGGACTCTTTGATCTCAACCTCCTGAGTAGCTAAGATCACAGGGTAAGTCACCAGCACCTGGCTACTTAAAAAAAAAAAACCAAAACAAAAACAGCTGATAGTAAGTATATCATTCAGTAATCTTATAAGTGATGAATCTTTATATTTACGTATGCCCATAACAAGATTTTGAACATCTCCATCATTTATGCCCAGCTCCACAACCAGCCTGCCTCCATGCCTCAGTGTTTGAACTTGAAGTGAAGGAAACACCAAGTATCTACACTTGGGGACCGCTCCATCTGCTGTGATTCAACAGAATAGAGTAATAAGACTCATCCATGTCCTGCATAAAAATGGGTCAAATAGTCAACAATTTATGGTTTAGTGGACATTTAAGTTGGAGTTTTGCCTTTCATGAACAAAGCTACTAGAAATGTTCTTCTACATGTCTTTTGGTGGACACAGCATTTATGCCTGCCAAGTACATACTCAGCATTGGAATTCCTGGCTCATAGAAAAAAAAAATTCTATTAAACTTTAAATTTATTGCCAGTGTCCCAAAGTGGTATAGCAACAACAGCCAAAGAAAAAAATGAAGGGGTTGGGGGGGGGGGGAGTTAAAGGTGATGCCAACCAAGATGCATTGCATTCATAGGCTGTTTTGTTCAACAACTTGTACAACTATTTAAAATATTTTTTAAGAAGAAAAAGTTTTAAAAAATTTTACCAAAAAACAGGCACTACTGGCTCACACCGGTAATCCTGTCTACTTAGGAGACTAAGACCTGAGGATCAGTTTGAAGCCAGTCTGGGTAGAAAAGTCTGTGAGACACTTCAATTAACCAGCAAAAGGCAAGAAGTAGAGCTGTGGGTCAAGTGGTAAAGCCCCATCCTTGAGTGAAAAAGCCAAGCAAGAGTGTGAAGGCTTAAGTTCATGCTCTAATACCAGCATGCAAAAAAATTAACAACAAAAAGAAAACTAGAAAACCAGAGAGAATTGTCAGGCCAATGCAGGTATCACATCACCTGGCATTATAAACTACTTGTAGGAAAAAGGAAGTAGTAATACAAGGTATATGCCAGCCAGTAACATGAGACTTCTGATTGGTCACTCCTCTCCTATCTTGGTATCATCTGTTTTGTATTTTAATATTAAAACAGGAAAGCCCAGTGCTGGTGGCTCTCACTTATTAAAAACCTAGCTACTGGGCTGGGAAGGTAGCTCAGTGGTAGAGCACTTGCCTTGCATAAATGAGGCCCTGGGTTCGATTCCTCAGCACCACATAAGCAGAAAAAAGCCGGAAGTGGCGCTGTGGCTCAAGTGCTTGTCTTGAGCTGAAGAGCTGAGGAATAGCGCCCAGGCCCAGAGTTCAAGCCCCACGACCGACCAAAAAAAAACAAAAACAAAAACAAAACTAGCTACTCAGGAGGATCGTAATTTGAAACCAGTCCAGGCAGAAAATTCCCTTCAACTTCATCCCCCAAATAACTGGCTATATGCTGCCAGAGATGTGACTCAAGTAGTAGAGCACTAGCCAAGCAAGCCAAGGAAGGGCAAAGCCACAAGTTCAAACCCTGATACAGACAAAATAAGTTTAAAAAATACTGGATGTTTCATTGTGATTTAAATGACCATCAATAATGTGAAATGTTCATATGTTTATTGGTCATTTTGATGGCCTTTTAATGAAGGATTTGTTCATACATTCCCCCCTAGCAGTCTGCTTCATGGTGTTTATATATGAGTGTCTATATACTCTGGATACGAATCCTTCGTTCTCTCAATCTGAGGCTTGCTTTTTTATTATTTAATGTTGTTTTTGATGAACTGAAACTATTCATGTTTAAATGAGTCCAATTTATTAATTTTTTGTGATCTGTGTTTTGTTATGTGCTGTTTAAAAGAAATTTCTGCCTGTCACGAAGACCCAAGGGTAATCTCTTCTAGTTCCTTCTAAGAACCTGGTGGTTTTAACTTTCAGTCTCTGTAAAGCTTTAGGGCAAGTAACTCAGCCATCATTCTATAAAACTCCAGTCTCAATAAAATTAATGAAAAGTATTGCCTTGGCCTTTGGTCTGTTTCTACTTTTTTTGATATCTTGTAGATACCATTTAACACAGGTAACCCCATGATGGAAAACAAAGCAGAAATCTTTGGTGAAATTTTGACTTCCTGAACAAAATCAAATGTAGGAGGAGGAGAAGGTCAAGAACCTGAAAAGAAATTCCCTGTGGCACTGTGGCTCAAAGTGGTAGAGTGCTAGCCTTGAACAGAGAAAGCTCAGGGACAGCGCCCAAGCCAAGTTCAATCCCCACACCCACAGAAAAAAGAGAGAAAGTATTCCCTGTATTCGTAGCTGTGTGTGCATTCATATTCTCTTTGGATCCCCTTGGATTCCTGGGGCATTACCAGACTTTTTTTTTTTTTTTTAAGAATTGTGTTCATTTTGTTTTTGTTTGTTTTTTCAAAACTACACACTGTTCTTTCTACTTCATAAAACTGTGGCATCTTAGCACTGGAAGGAGTCTCAGGAAGTGACCAGATTCTGCCCATTGGACCTGGAACTCAACATGGAAACTATCCTTCCAAGACTGGCCTCCCTGCCAGATTCCAGCCTCCACAGGAGCTGAGCCAATCAGAATGCTTTAAAGACTTGTTCCTGCATTCTGAGTACTTCAGTGATTTCTACCTAGGAAAGCAGAAAGAGGAAAAACAGAAGGACAAAATGTGAGTGTGCCCGACTTCAGTCACCCTGAAAAAGGTTTATATGTCAATAAAACTTGGGGTGTGGGGGTGTGCATGCAGGCGCGTGTGCCTGCCTGTACTGGAGCTTGAACTCAGGGCCTGGGCACTGTCCCTGAACATTTTTGCTCAAGGCTGGTGTTCTATCTCACTTGAGTTACGGCTCCACTTCTGGCTTTGTGCTGGTTAGTTGGAGATAAGCATCTCAGGCCTTAGTGAGACAGAAATTCTCCCACCAGTCTCCTTTTAAAGCAAGGAGGGCCTTTCACATAGGAGCTCACTCGTCGGCTGAGGTCAGTCCTGGGATCTGGGATCTGGGAATCTGGCTTCCTCTCCAGGTAGACGGTCACTGGCACTCTTTATTAAGACCTCAGGCTCTTTCTTAACACGATTTTCCCAGTACAGCCACTATCAGCACAGGCCTGTTAAGAAGTACACGGTGCCACAGAGCATATGGCTCTGCAAATTTCGCAAACTGAGCCCTGTGGATTTCAGGCCCCACGACTGGACCCCCCCAAAAAAAAACAAAAAAGAAACAAAGGCCCATCAAAGCACTGGCAGACCTTCTCCAAAAGCATCACCATGCAGGTGTCTGCATCCTAAGAGAGTGGGGATGGGGAGAAGAAAATAGGACTGGCTTTCCACCAGCCACCTTGAGCACCAACCAGTTCTTCAGGCACCCCCCAGGTCCAGTTGGATTGTCTGGGAACAAAGGCTAAGCCTAGCAGGCAGCCTGAAGAAGCCCTGTGGAGATCCAGAGGGCACGAGGTGCTGGAGTCAGACAGACAGACTGAAAAACAGACTCCGCATCCTGCGACCTCCCGACAGAGGAAGGGTGTAAGTAGAATTGGGTAAGTGGCCATATCCACTGCGGCTGTCCCCGCCCAGGTGGAGCCTCGGGACAATGGCTTAACCTCAGC